TAAAAAAAAAAAAAAAAAATTACAGATAAAAAAAAAAATTATGAAAAAAAAATAAAAAATAGTAAAAAATTTTTTTTAAAAAATTGGTTTTTCTTGCCTCAGGCGCAAAAAGTAGCTGGCTACGGCTATGCTCCCGTGGTGCTCGTGCGGCTGCTGGCTGAATGTGTCAGACGTTGCAGATGGAAAGGTGCAGGACACCCCATGTGCAACGTCGGCCACACGAGCACCACGGGAGGACAGGACGCCGGGACCTGTAGGGCGCACTGGAATGTAAGCCGGCCGACTCCCTGCGTTCAGGTGCGGGAGGGGGAGCTGTATTGAAGTCAATGGCATCGCCCACAGTGCGATCGCCCGCACTCTGAACGCAGGCATGTTAGTGCCTTCATTCCGGTCCAGTGCGATCTGCAAAAATAGTGCTCGCAGCATTTTTGCGGATCGCACTGGACTGGAACACATGCACTAATGCAGGCGATCGCACTGTGGGCGAGGGGCCTGCCTGCGAAGCCTGGCTGCGGTGCCATTGACCTCAATGCACCGCCACGCCCCCTCCCGCCCCTGAATGCAGGTGTTTTTTTCGTTGGTAGATCTCAATGAGCTTGTCATTTGAAAAGTAGATCTCCAGACGAAAAATAGTGGGCGCCCCTGTGGTAGATGATTAAGCTATAGAGTGAAGTGAAGGAAGTATCCTGTGAAAAAAACAGGCAGTACCATTTGTGTAGGTTTTACAAAAGTAATAATCATAATTTCTTTACTCACTTTTTATTATGTGGTTGATTGGCTATATTACTGGGCTTTTGGTTTGCAGGTTTTGTCCTATGTGCCTGAAACAGAAAGAATGAGTGTTATCCTGCTGTAATTGGCCAGCATATTAAACATTTCATTATACAGGGTATATGCAGCTCTATAAAAATGTACTAAACCATTATGTGTGACAGCACATGATAAGCAAGGCTGTAGATGGTTTGCTCACCATGTTCCCTCTCCTAAACTGCGCCCTCTGTTGTTCAGGGGATTACATGCAGCTAATATAAAGTTATTAGCTGTATTATCTGCATTTATTGGATTTGAAATAAATATCTAGTAATGTACCGATACTAGTATCGGTGCCGATACCGAGTATTTGGGCGAGTACTCATACGCGCTGAATTGCTCCAATACCTTCCCCGATACTGGAACTTCCGGTCAGGGGGAAATTTGCTCTGACAGGCAGTGCCGCGAGGGAACATGGAGCTGGCTTCCCGGCCAATCAGCATTGAGCCAGCCATACAGCATGGAGCCGACTTCCCAGCCAATAAGTCTTCCTAATTGCCTGGGAAGCTGGCTCCATGCTAGCAAAAGTACCGGTATTGGTGAGTACCGAAATATAAATATCAGTACTAGTACTCGATACCGAATACACGCAATTGGTGCATCCCTATAAATATCTATTTTGATTAAAGCCTCTCTCCAGGAAAAAAATCCCCTTGCAGTGTGGGGTTAGCCTGACTGCAAGGAGAGTTTCTTTCTCCAGAAAGAGGCTATAAATGATATTTTTAGCATAACCCTGATGTCAGCTTCAGTTTCATAAAGCTGAATGGAGAGGGAAGACTTACCAAAATTGATTTCCTCTACTTGGCTACAAATAGTAATTGCAATTAACTGACTCCAATACAAATGACTGAGAAGAGCGATCCATATAATACGTACCTTGTTGTCTTTGTGTAGGTGATCATCAAGTATATCCTCAATCAAATTATCAACATCTTCCTCATCAGTGGACACGTTCACAACTGTGTTCTTAGACCTGCGAAGAACCAGAAATCCCAGCTTAGAATCTATTCCGTGACAATTCCCATCAATACAGGTCTGGAAGTATCTGCTTCAGTCATGAAGAAATACCTTACCCAGCTCATCAACACTGCTTACAAGTCCATTCTTAATCCCCACCATAATGGATTTTAGGAAGACTTTAGATAATTGTATAAGCTGCCATCAATGTCATTTAAATAAAATAATTGCTAATGTTATGGCTGAACTCCCGGCACAAATAATTTCATTGACATATATTTCCCAATAACCAAAAACAGATAGAAATCCACTTTGTGTGCACCAAATGACTTTGCAAACTAAGTTATTAGCTAGTAAAAGTTGCAGTGCTTCATCACCACTGTGCTATATGTGTTAATATATTTATATTTCTACAGCGCGTTTTGGCCTGTGGACTCAAACCACTTTTTCTGCTATTGGGGCAGATGGTGAGCCGCCATCTTGGGCAGCCTCGAGAGAATATCATACCTGGGGTTAATTTTAGACAGGAGCCAATTACAAAGCACAAAGGGCCCCAGTGTTGCAAGGCTGAAGTGCTAACCATTAAAGGAGAACTATGAGGTGAGTGCTTTTGACTCATCCTCATAGACCTAGCCGACCTGTGACAATGAAATTGTCACAGGTCGGCTCAGTAGATCGCGAGGTGAGCGAACACATACCGGCGTTCGCTCACTTCTCGATCCTGTCACGGCTCTCTGCCGTGACAGGGGAGGGCCTGGATTCCCCTCTCCAGTGCTGACTGGCGGAACGGACGGGGGAGGGGGCGGGTACAGCTGGTTCTGCCTCTAGATAGGCAGAGCCAGCTGTCACTCACGCAGCTGGGCGGATCTCTACATAATTGTCGGGATCCGCTTCAGCTGCGACGTCTCAGTATACCGCGAGCTGTGGCTCGCGGTATACTGAGCTTAGGGTGACGGGAGGACGCTACTTTGTGTCCTTCCGTTACCCTTAGGAGAACTATGGGGAAAAGCCCTAACCCCATAGTTCTCCTTTAAGTCAGCAGAGCTGTGGGGGGGACTCTGCAGGCTCCACCCTGTACAGTAGGGGTAGATAAATAAAATACAAGGGGGGCTGGTGAGTAATCGAGGCCCAAATCGCGCTCCGTACAGAATGGTCAGCTGCTGGTGCGTGTTCCCAGTGCTAATGCGCCAACCCCGGCACATCACACCGTTTATTTTTTTTTCATAGTTCTTCGTTAGAACTTCCCCCCCTTCCCGTTTACATACACGTGCATGCCTTAAGCACGTGTTCATTGTTCATTTGTACATGGTAGGGTAGGCAGGGTTGTTTTTCTTTTAAATTCGTTACCCTATTTCATCACCCTTTTTTAACTTAACATTTACTATCACCAAGGAGCTAACAAGCTCCTATATGACAGCATTTGGAGGTGACAGGTTCTCTTTATGTTTGAAGAATGTCACCAGCACACCGATTTCTTTTACAACAAATGAATAGTCATTTATTGACGTATGCTTTCTCTCATTTTGCAAGCGCTTTCAGGGTTGCACGGGGTCGCCTTCATCATCACTGAGCCTCATGAAGGGAACACTGCGCGGCCCGAAAGCGCTTGCAAAATGAGAGAAAGCATACGTCAATAAATGACTATTCATTTGTTGTAAAAGAAATCGGTGTGCTGGTGACATTCTTCAAATATCTACACGTTGGCGGTGCCATCCACAATCACCCACTGGTATACTTGCATGGGAATCCCGGTAAGCAGTGCAGCAAGAAAACTTCATTCTTATCCAGGTTCTCTTTATGGAGACATTAGGGGTCCATTAGACCTTTAATGTCTTTCCTGCCCTCTAATACAGATCATCAAGCATAGGAATGTGCTTGATAGTCTGTATACCTGGCACTTCAGCCGGCTTCTGACAGCTGATGCAGGAAGCCCTTCATATTTCAGTGATCACAGAGCAGATTGGGGAACACGCATTCCCCAACAGTTTGTACAACAGCCGTCTAGTACAAGTGATCTGGATTGATGTACAGCCGCCCTGATCACTTGTAGTCGAGGAGCTGGCCCTGCCTGATGCCATTGGTTGCTAGGAAGCTAGTGGTCCTAGCAACCAATGACTCAAGCGGATGCTCTGTGTTATGGCTGGAAGTGGATGCAATGTCGGCCAGCCATTACCCACTGCAGGTAGGTGACCGCGGTTTGGACAGCACTGCCACTTGGTCTGTGTTCAGA